GATTATAAGAGTAACAATTATGTCAAAAATAAAAAAAAGCCCAAAAAATTATCAATTGACAATATACGGTTTATTGCCACAATAGGAAGAGAGAAATTAGTTCATTTCTATGCCACAAAACAATTTTTTAATTTTCCTTATGTCACACATTTTATTGCCATCTTTTTATGTTTGTGCACATTAATGTTAAATTAAATGGACATATCTACATACTTGTCTCTTATTGTATTTATGTCTAAAAGTGCATAGTATAGGGATGGCATTTTAAATGTTTCAAATATTTGAAAACAAAATTTTTCACTTTTTAGGTATAATTTTGAAAAAATTTTGTAAAAAAATTCAAAAAATCTTAAACTAATGTGAATTTCCTAAATACTTTTTTTTCTTTTTTGAAATTTGTTGACTGAATTTTAATTTTCTATAATGAAAGGAAAAGTTATTGCGTAATGTTTGAGTAGCAGAACGGAAATAAAATGCATTGTTCGAATTTTACACTTGTGTTTTACGTAAAAATTGTATTGGGGCTTCCAAATGCTATTTTTTTGTAGTTGATTTTTGAATAATTATTTTGCGCTTTTAAATGGATTTAAATTGATTTTTCTGAATTGAAATTTTAATTATTATGCAATTGATTTTATAATGTGCAGATTATACCAATTTTAACAATGTGTTTTTTTTTTTAGAAATTATTTGACGATGAACTTGCAATATTAATATAAACAAGGTAATTTTGGAAATAGGAAACAAAATCGATTATTTTCCTTCAATCTATAATATCGTATAGATTGTATCGCATATGGTATCGTAATTTGTAATCGTATATTATATAAATTCCAAAAAGCTATTTCATTTGACGTGCATAAATTTGAAAATTGAAGAAAAATGTATGAAAAGTGACGAATATTCTGGTTCTCTGAGAAATATAAGAAACAAAAACAAAGAAAGAGAGAAGATCTACTTTAATTAACCGATCGTTAACACCTAATTCTGGCAAACTTGCACTTGGTTCATCGAGAGTCAACACAAATGAAGCTCTCAGCAAAAAGGAACCAAACAGGGAATTTCGTCAGCTGAAGGAAAAAAATAAATATTACACTTCCCTCACTTGACAATGGAACAAATCCGAATTTAAAAAACAATATTTGTATTTATAAATGCAAAATTAACTGGAAATTATAACAAGGAAGCAAAGCAAAGCACCTGAAAAGAATTTTACAAGAAAGTAAATGACCTGAAAAGAAAAAAGAAAATAAAGCATGTACAGGTTGAGGAGTGCAAAATTCTAAATAGAACAGGGGGACAACAATACAGGTGCCAGAATTGTGGATGCAAAGATCGAATAATCAATTTTAATAAGATCTAATTTCTACACACAAATAGGTTGCCAAGTTCATTCAACTGAAAATAGTTTTCTACAGTGCAATAAAATTAAATAAATATTTCCAGCTTATTATATACAATCACTGCCACACTAATTAAGATACTAATTAAAATAAACTGGTTTTTAATTAGAAAATTCAAAATAATGAAATCGCAAACATTACCAAATGAAAATAAAAATAGTCTCCAACAAATGCAACCATTTATTATTATTAAATTCTCCAAAAGATGAAAATATTGTATACAATCAAGCTTTTATTTTCATTAAATGAAACCAACAAAATAAATAAGACCATATTACTTTCAATTTAATTCTAATATAAATAATTAAAAATTGCACTTAAAATACAAATTTAATGAACAAAAAAATTTTTTTAAACAAAAGTTATGAAAATTTTTAACACTACTATAAAACAAAAAACTAACAAACCTCTAACAAATAAAAATTTATTAAATTAATTTTACCTTAACTTTTTTCTTTGTTTTTCATTATCCTGACAAAATTTATTCAGCATTCTTAAAATACGGGACTGAATAATATTGCGGGCTTTATACGCGGTAAGTAATGAAAAGTAACAAAAATAAATTTCAATATTATTTAGAATTTAAGGAATACCATAAAAAAATCCACAAAATAAAAATACAAAATGTTGAAAGACAAAAATTTAATAAAAATCTAAAATATTATTGTCTGCACACTGCCCATGGTCCACCAAATATATATATACATATATACATATACAAAGAAAATAATTGAGTAAGTCCTGCATAATATAAAAGTTTACGTTCGTCGTCATTGAGTAGTAAATTATTTCGGAATAAAATGAAAACAAAAGTAAGGAATTTCAACATTTTCAAGACAACACTCTCTAAAGAAAAACAAAGAATCTATTTTGATTTTTTTGTAATTTTATAACAATGCCGGTACATTAAAACACAATCTTATTTTACATATTATACGTATACATATAATAATATATACAAACATTGGTATATAAAACTTAAATATAGGATGCACAACTACATTCACACTTATGTGTAAATAAAGTTTAGAAAGTCATAAAAAAAAGAGGACGTTCAATAATGCCGGTAATAAAAATATTTGTAAAAAATAGAATATCGTAATTCAAATTGTCAATTATTCATTAATTAGAAATTATACTTTTCTTATAAGAAAAGAAAACTTTCAATTACTTCTATGCTTTTTTTAATTGAAATATAATTACTGTGGAAGAAACTGTGCAGATAGAAAGGTTGTAATACCATGTGTTATAGGTTGTTAAACAACTAGATTGTGGCTGTCTCACTTCAAACTAAGGTTGTTGAAACTACTTTTTGACACTTTATACACAAATGCCAATCAAATATTTATAATAACAATTGGGTACAGGCGCGTGGCGTTGGAGTTTCTCTTGAATTCTTGAGAGAGTTGAAGCTGCTTCTTGAATTTTTTTGAAATTATAAATTTCATTAAATCTAAAAGATGTTTATCGAGCAAATAAAGTTATCAAATCAAGTCTGGCGGACGTTCTCTAATATTTCAAATAAATTTTTTAAAATTTAGTCAAGTTTAGCTTCTCTTTGTATTGGTCTTCTTACTTTTAGACTACGGCAAGCCAATATAATAACATTTGCAAGGATATCACGATATCACCTATTTATTTATAATTTAAATCATTCAAGAACAATGTTTTTGCCTTATATTTTGTCCTTTTCATCCTTAATTTTGTACAAAATTTAACGATTTGTATACAAAAAGTGTAAAAAATAGAGAAAATTTTCTTCAAATTTCAAACTTTTTTGTTTCAGTATCTATATATAATTGTGAACAGTCCTTAGCATTCGTGCACAAGAACACTTCTATTATAGAACGTTTTTTATTACTACTTTTTTATGTTCTATTTTTTTTTTTAATTTTTAAGGAATTGCTAAAATATCTTCAATATACGAATAAATCGAAATAAAAACACATTAACACAAAAGTTATAAAAAATATTTTCTTTATATTTTGCTGTACATATATATTTATTATAACTGTTATTAATATGAAAATGAGGTCCTGAAAACCGTGATATTTTGATAAGAATCTATTATATAAATAAGAGTAATTTTAACAATTATTTTTTAATTTAAACAATTTTTGCGGAGAGATGGTGGCAGTGTTTCCATATTGGAAAGAATTTAAAGATGGCATTTTTTTGCAGTATAATTTAAATTTAAAAGAATATTGCAAAAATTACATTATTATACTCATTTACGACATTAAGCAAATAAGATACAATTTTTAGGTAATTTTAGGTAATTTTGTTTACAGAATAGTTTTATATACTTGTCCCTAAAACAATCGTTGCCAGAAACTAAAGAATACATAAGAACATCTGAATGCAACATACGAATGAAATCAAATACTCATCAGAGACAAAAAACCAAAAATGGAAAAAAATTAAGCAGCTTATTAAGATGACAATAATTTCATCAGGAAATGATTTTCATATTCCTGGAAATGTCATTTTCGACTTTTTAAACCACATCTTATTAATTGAACTACTCATTTTAATATCATTTGATAGTAGAAAACTTTAATTTTTCTAATTTTTTAAACACATTCAAAAATTTTACTACAGCCCTAATTCTGGAATGGTTGGTAACAATTATTATTAATTGAATTAATTTTGAATTTATTTATTTAATATTTAAATTATACTTACATTTTCAACTACATATTTTGTAAGTACAAATAACAAAAAATTTAATTCACGACATTAAAAATTTATCCTACGCACCACAACATTCTACTACTGAAAGAAACATTTGATAAATTTTTATTACATTAAAATTAATAGAAACTCACGAATTTCATTACATTGAACAAGGTCAAAAATTGTTTATTTTCAAAAATATAAGAGGCTCTTATGGGTACAATAGAAAAAAACAAAATGAGAAAAATTCTGGAAAAGTATTTGAAATCGTAAAGCTTTTTAGTATTCTCAAGGGCATTGCAAAAAAAAACAAAAATTCTAATAAAAACTAAATATTCCCAAAATATAATCAATTGAATAAAATATCCTTAATATAAAAGTTAACCTTCTAAAATTTCTTTATCGATTTTGTAATAAACAGTTTGTTTGTTGAAATTAAAGTTGTAAATAAAAATCAATAGGAAAAATTTGCAAATACTTAAGGACGTTTTCGTCCAGATAACTTTATAAATTAAAAATTGATTATTTCTTGTAATGGTAGTGAGCAAACTGAGAATGATTTAGTAATCAACGTCGACTAGTATTACTTGGAATTAAAGTAGTAAAAATTCAAAGATTAAGCTATACAATATATGAATTTAAAATTTTAAGAACTAACTAATTAAATTTAGTTTAACAGAACCTTATTATCTTATTTGAATTAAAATTTATCTTAAAAAATGAAATTACAGTACAAAAATTTATTATTTTAATATTACATAATTTGTAATTAAATGCAGAATTATTATTCTAAATATAAACTAATTTACAATTACACAATTTAAATATTAAATATTTACTTAAGACTATAGAATATTTTTTAATTTTTTAAATTTAAAATATAATTAATAAAAATATTTTTTTATAAACTAATTGACATTTCGTTTTTCTTTTTTCATTGTATATTGTTGTTATTGGGGTTTCAAAGTTTGAATATTAATTAATTCAATTGATCATCAACTTGGATTTGAATTTGAACTGCTCCTATTCAAATGATGTATTATTCTTCCTTGTGTCTCTTCTAAAAAATTTGCAATTATATAATAAAATTTTCAAAATAAAAAAAAATGTTCAAAATAACCTGGATTTGATCCTGTTCCTGATGATGCAGTTTTTCTTCTTGCCGCTGTTATTTTATTCCAACCATTTACAAAAATTTGATTTCGATATTTTGGTGTTGTAAACGTATATAAAAATGGATTAACAGCTGAATTTAATGGTAAAACGAATACTACCAGCCATGCATAAATGTCGTCTACATGTATACAATTGTGATTTATTTGAAAATATAAAAATGAAAAATGAAGTTTTTGCTTACCAGAAATTTCAAAAGTTAAAAAAACTTTTATTTTCATAAAAATTATTGGCGCCCAACATGTAACATCTGTTAGAACAATAAAAAAGAATCTTATCGCAAATTCACAATCCAATATAGAGCATGGTGCTTGTTTTCTTGTTTTTAATATCGATAATAATAATGCTGTATATAATATTGTTATTAAAATTAATAAAAATGAATTTAATCCTAAAAATATAAATGCTGAATATTCCCAACCAATTGAAAAACGTTCTTGTATATGCAATGGAAAACACATTCCAGAATATGTACCAAATATTTTCATTCTTGATCTCCATATTATTATTGGTGTTATTGCAATACAAATACCAATAAACCATATTAAAAACATTGCAAATGATACATGACTTAATTTCATACGTTTATAACTTTTAAATGGATTTGCAATTAAAAAGAAACGTTCAAATGACATAAATGTTAATATCATTATTGATACTTCTGATGATATAACAGCTAATATACCAATACTAACACAATACCATGATGATATCCAATCTTTAGCAATTTCATGATATCGATTACGATAACGTAAATCCTGTATACCAATAACAAGTAAATAAAATCCCATTAATACATCTGAAATTGCTAAATTTCTGATAACTAATGTAACAGATCGATTTTCATCACGATAAATAAAACGACAAAATATTACCAATGTATTACCAATGAATGTTAATGTTGCCATTAATAATGTTGAATAACGTAATACCGGTTTCGATATTAAATCAGTTATCGATGAAACACCATCAGTATTTGGTTTACATTTTTTTATATGCGGTGTCATTGAACAATAATAGAATCGATCGAATACAATATATTTAAGATTTTCGATACGATTAATATAAATAAAAATAATATTTGTATCGAAATTTGTTTTTTCAATATTTAAATAGGATACATTTAAATAATGTAATAGTTTTGGTGTTATATATAAGCTGGTTCTACCAAGATATCTAAAAATAGAAAAAGTATAAAAATAATTTAAAATTTAAAATGTATAGCTTCTGTAAAAATAATGTAAAAACAATTTGTAAATTAAGGATACTCGCACGATAATAGGGTGTTGAACATAATTTAAACTTGATCAGCTTCATATTCTAATAATAATGGCCTTCACATTTTATTTATTTCGAAGCCAAAACCGGCTGCCACCTTCTTCACAACAAAACTTCTGATCTTTCTTGAACGCCGTTTGCTATATTTTACGAATGGTATCAACAATTTTGACCTCGAAGGCTATATGCAGTCCCCATTTTTAATATTGGCAATTTAAAAAATTGTCTAAGGCGCAGCAATGTATGAGAAGGCTCAAAAATATGTCTCATTAACAAGGTATAACAAAAGAGGAAAGAGAATAAATCCTGGTCTTACGATATTAATAAAGCGGGATTAATTGGTTTTTTGACTAATTAACTTAAGAAGAGATTGGTTGGAGAATATTTTGGAGATTATTTTGGAGATTAATTGGAATTGCTTTTAGAAAAAATAAACAACAGACCTTTATAAACGATGTATGGTGCAAAACTATTTCAATCAGCGCCTAAGGTTTAACAGTTTATTAGTTTAATTTAGTGACTACAGCCTTAACTTCTCAATATAAGTAATCAAAGTGTGCCAAATTATTAATGCTTTCATTAACATAATAATAAGTTATGAACTAGGAATCATAAACACAATACCAGTATACAATATTACAATAATAACAATGTAGTTGGTATGCGAATCGTGCGAGTATCGAATGTATTTATAAAATCAATTTTCTTATATTTTATCCTTTATTGAAGGATATACTTAAATATCTTGTATTATTTTTGATTTTTTGTTTTATTATTATTATTATTACAGTGCATCCAAAAGAGATGTTCTTAAAAATGTATTATCTGATAATTTTGTCAACGGATTTCCAGTCAGACGTCTGAAATTTAAGTTAAAAAATAAAAAGAAAAAAAAAATATTAGTAAAATTGTTCAAATGTAAAAATAATTTAATATAAACTTTGTATATCTTATGTAATTAGATTTTGAAAAAATATTTACAGTCAATAACACTTATTCTATCGTATGTCTAATACACTATCACTAGATACTGGTGATATAGTGAAGGCTATATTAAAATTCAAGATTTTGTAATGACCAACAAATATTTTTATTTTCACTCACGTTTTAATAAAAAATTTTATGCGGTGCCCACAAATATTTAAATTTTTTTTTTAATTCTGTTGAGTTGAATTTTAAATTAATTATATAACACAGATAGTAACCATATACAAAAATATATAGAGAAAAAGAATAGTGTAAAATAGATTGGCTGCAATTTATCTTTACATGAACAGAATGGCAGAAAAAAAAATATAAAGTTGGCTAACAAAGTGTTTTAACCTTTTGGAAGAAAAAAAACAAAAAAGAACAAATATATTTTTTTTATTACTTTATTTTAAAAAGAAAATTTTCCAATAAATTTAATTTTAAGAGTATCTTACGTCTCATCCACATGCATACAAGTCCTTGCACCATAATATGTGCACATTTTCGTATATAATTATTTTATTTTATAGAACGTTTTGTTCCCCATCACTCTGTTGTGACTTATTCATTTGTGTAAGCAATAAATTATCTAAACATACCATTCAATGATATATTGTTAGAAAAATAAAGAAAAAAAAAAAATAGAAAAAGTTGGGAAAAAAATTGGGACCTAGTCTTATAATAACAATTTATTAGAGAATCTTTATTTCTATATTTACTTAATTTTTTTTTTTTTTGCTAAAAATAACTCCTTTATATCATAATCGTAAAACCTTAAATTTTTTCCACATTTCACATCACTAAAATATCCATTTCATCACTCATTCCCAAATCTCTTATTTATATGTACACAGAGAAATTTTGGTTTTCACACATTTCTCTCATATTTTTTCTCTTATTTTCTTTTTCATTTTGGTTGCTATTTCTGAAAATTTTTACGATTTCTCTAATAATTTTCGAATTCAAGAATGGTTCAATAACTCTTTCCATTCTTTTTTATCCTTCGGGTATACTATAGACTTCAATAAAAATATTCAGTATTGTATAACAGGGTTATATTAAATTAAAGTGACCAATGGAAGTTTATATATACAAATATCCATTGATGATTTATTCATTGAAAATGAATTTATATAGTGTATAAACTTACATTGTCGATCACAGACTGAAACGAGCCACTATCTCGCTAAACTACAATAGGTATTTTAACGTCTCGTCCTTTTCCAGACAAAGTCGTGACAATTTATTCCTCGTTTTGCCCATGTTTCTTAGGTGTGCTTTTAAAAGAAAATGTCCTTGACAGTAAAAAATAAAGTTTGAGCTAGATAACTGTGAGCTATGAATTTTTTGGTGTCCGAATGCCTTGGACAACTATATTTCAGTAAACCACTTTGGCTCGCTATTCTCAGTTGTTCTTTGTTGCGAGAAATTTTCATTCTCAATTCCCTAAAACCGGATTCACATGGTTTGATAAATACAGTTGCTATCCATTTGAGACCACAAAATATCCTTTTTATTTCTCTTTATGCTCGGTGTGCAAGCAACAACATCAAGGTTACCTTATTTTGCTTAGCTTAGACATTAAGAACATCCCCCTGTTGATTTGGATCCCACCATTGGCATTAAATGGTAGATCCCTGAGGAAAGCCCTCACCTTATCCTTACCCATTCCGTTCACATCGGAATAACATCCTCATTTATTATATTTGTGATGCTCGGAAAATCATAATTTCTAACAAAACCAGTTTCAAATTATTTACAACTATTTCAACAAACCGGCCACCCTATACATAATACATTCAATAAGCTCTCCAAAATATAAAATAACTGTCTCCTATATAAATACTTATTTATTAAATTTTTCTCAATATTTCTACTTTATTTTTACAAAACTCTTTTTAATATCACTCATTTTATGTGATAAAAATACTATAGAAATCGGCCAATTTCACAGGATTTTATTATGAAAACAGTGAATATATGGAGAAACTTGAAGACCTTCTTCCATTTCAATTTATTTTCATTGTTAACAATATTGTTATAAGTGAGTTACCGCCAAGACACACCATTCTCTACGAAATTCCAAAAAAACGTTTATTTTTTATTTTATGAAGCAAATCATTGAATTAAATTCCTTAATCTTTTGCTTGTCTATCAAAACAAAACGAAAACAAGATAAAAAAGAACCCTGATTTTTTTATCGTAGACTAGAAGAAACTATAAAAACGAAATGGTCGGTCATCTTTCCCACACATATGTAAGCGACGCACATATTATTTTAATAATAGAATTCTTGACGCCTTTCTATCACATATAAATTTAATAAACGGAAGCTTTTTTTTATTTCAAAATCAACGAAATATTATTTACGATATAGTTAAATAGTATCACTTAGAAAATTAATAAAAAGAAATCTTCTATTTTATTGCATAACAATAGGCGCTTTATATTTTTCCTAACTCTGATATTTTGTTTTATAAATAAATTTAATGGTATAGAGTTTTATTTTTATATTATGCATATGTGTGTTAGATTCATTATTTACGCGTTCTTTAAGTTCACAAAACTCACTTCAAGGACGTTTAAAATAAACTATGGCTACACACAAATTAAGAAAATTACGTAAACAAATGTGCAAAGGGTATTGTTTAGGAAGGAATAGAGAGGCAGGTGCTATTATTGTTATTATGTAAAAAAATTACACCTATGTACGTATAAGGCATATGAATCTTAATTCAATTCTAATTTAATGAAATGAGACATAAAATTAATTTCCATAATGTAAACAGGTATTAGAGAAATGTCCAGTATATGAAATCTAAAACAACAGCTTGTGTTCTTTAATTCATGTAGAGTAAGATTACCAATTATTATTAGAAAATAATTCATAAACGTGATGAAATTGTAACAACTTTTAAGTAAGATTCTATATACAAATACGGTCAGATCAAGTATGACTGTGCTTGTACAGTCAGTTCAGAGAAAACTCAGTTCGATAGCACTTGCGTCTCATGTAAAACACAAGAAATATTTTAAAAATTATTTCAATATATTTATTATTCTGATGACATTGACACATTGTCAAAAACGAACGTCCGTCCCAAAAAAAAAACAAGAACCATCAAAGTTTAAGGACTTTAGTGCCGAATTTTACTTTTATATATCAGGAGTAGCTTAACAGGATAAGATAGCAGTCATGCAACCCTGAAAACTAATTGAAGAAATCAGATCATGGGGGATAGTGTAGAATTGTAGTTTATACACAAGCACCAAAAATTTTGTTCAGCTGGCTTACTATAGAATTTTATAATCAGTCTCGACTGAAACATATTTACATGTTATATTGTAGACTTGTTCGTCCCGCATTGCGGTAAGCGTTATCGCTGAAAACGATTACTTTCAAAGAATTGATATTTTCACTCTCATTAATCCAATCCCGTTAATTTATCTAAAATCTAATAATAATGTTTTTAATAAAATATTTTAAATTTATTTAAATTTGGTTTTGGTTCTTCTGTTTATGAATTTCAATTGTGCTTGTTTTAATCACTAATTGCGGTACGTTATCAAATTTGTTTTCTATTTATTTAAGATTTTTAATTTAAGCAATTACCGTAAATGCAAATGATGCATATTCGTATATCTATATTTTATTGTTAATTTATTCCTCTTAATTATATTTGTAACAAAAAAAAAAATAATTTGAATTTAATTTGAAAGTTTAATATTTCGGAAAATTCAAATTCACATACCGACGACCGCATTTTCTAACCAAAAAAAAATTTACAAATAAACGTCAATAACCCAATTGTATTTTTTTTCCAAAATAGCACGTTGAATGGATTATTTTTGGGACTCTACTGAATAAAGTTTATTTTTTTTTCAGGATTTATAATTTTTTGTTTTCTCGTTTTTACTACAAAATGTTTTCATTGTAGTAAAAAAAAAGGATATTTTGTAAATATATAAGTATGTAAACATGAATTCGGTTTATTTTCATTTTCACAAGGAGCACAAAATTCATTGTATGTGAACGTGTTTCAGGTCTTATTATTGGATTTCAAAAAATAAACATTGAATATATAATGAATTGTGAGTATGTATACCGAGTATGTATACACGAAAAATTAAAATATACATTGTACTTAATTTTATTGAATTTGTAAGAGATTACAAGTGGATTATAAGTTTTATTGAAATACTTTGTATTTTATTTGATTACATACTACATATTGTATAATTTTATACACACAATAATTATAATTTTTGTCTTTAACCCTATATTCTATATGTACAGTTTTATGGTACCATTTGTGGTATGTTTATACAATTTGAAAAATAAAATTTGAGTAACAATAATTTCTTTGAATTATTCCTCATAGAATAAGCCTGTGAAAATTGCCAGTTTGCAGTAACAACTGTAACACTTACCCAGCTTAGCAGATTTACCCTAGTCTCAATTAATAAATTTGAAATAGAGAACTTATTTGACATTAGAGAGAGAATTTTTTGCTAGCTTACTTTTTATAAATGTAAAACTTGCATTTCGCATAATGAATGAAAGCCGGCCATTTATAAAAGAGGACCGTGTATCGTAACATGTATACCGTGTACGTTAATAGATAATGTAAGGTACCGTTTAATCTGAACTAAATCAAATTTTTTGTTTATATTTTTTATTCATTAAGCAAGAAAGCCTGCTATTGTTTCAATCGAAACAGGGAACATCGCGTTCTATACTTCTTTGAAGTACTATACAAAAGCAGGACGTACTGGGAGGCAGTAGTAAGAATCGAACCACAACATTAGAAAACATTATGTAGGAAAAATACTAGTAAAATACAGCCATATTTAAATAAAATATACAGAGTTACGTTGGGAAAAGACACTAAAATATACGTCCGAAAAAACTGAAGGAGAGAAATTTCAAATAGAGCGAAATAGAGCTGCGCGGTTAAACCTGAATTAATGCGAACAGCGGATCCGGGTTGGATTTATCATGTAATTTTGAGTGCTTCATCGGATAGATTCTTAGGTATCCAATTTCGCTCCGAATAGATTAGCCATTATTAGGATTGCGGAAATTTCGTTCCGAATTTTGTGTTTCAGCTCTAGAATACAGTTCTAACTCCATTAGACTATTTTTTGTGGATTTTTTTTTTTGAAAAGAAAATGTGAATATGCCAACAACAATGTCATAATTTTAATTTATTGACTAATTTAGATTCATGAAATAAAATTACCTAAATTATACTCATATTTATTATTTAAGAACTAATATAAATATTTAATTTATTCTAAAAGATTATTCCATAATAATTTTCTTCTTGCGTATAAAAGATACACTCCCGTCCAACATAATATTTTAATTAAAATAAATTTTCTTTCATTTCTATATTTCTACATATACTCTTACTGTCATAGACGAAATACACTCACTTACACAAATAAATAGAAATAGGAGTAGCTGTATATGAGAATAAGGAAGAAATATTTATTTCTCAAAATTCTTATAATCTCTACTAAAAATTCCAAAGAATAATTCATCAACACAAAAGCATTAATAAACCGTATTACTCGTATATAAGCAAAATAAATTTGACTTAATTTAAAATTCATAAATTGAAACATTAATTTTTTTTTTCATCTTATACTAAAATACATACACACATATACATAAATCTCTATACTTACAAATCTCGTAATATTTCTAAATTCCAAAATGCTTTCTCATCTACATATCGTATACGATTATATTGTAGGCTCCTTTCCAACCAACAAAGATGAGTTTGTGTATAGGTACATTAATATTTTTCATCATTCCAGCAAGAAGCAAGCATTCAACATATCATAGTAAATATGATCATCATTTTATGATTACAATCGAAATTTCCAAGTTCAAGGATATTTTGTTGAATTAATGAAGTCATATTGCAGAAACAAAGAAGAAAAAAAAATTAAAGGATTAAAGAGTTAAATTTAAGTTTGAAGATGTAAGAGATTTGCTTTTTCATTATTATTATTATTTTAATAATAATTTATCATTCTTTATAGGATATTTGTCAAGGATATACTCAAAAAAATTGTATAATAATCATCAACAAGTACGTATGTATGTAAATATTTCAAATATTTAGATTAAAATAAGGTGTTGCAGACTAAATTTTTTTTTACAGATGATTAAACGATCTAGTATCAGACTTTACAAAAGGGATTCTGTTTATTTTTGTGTGTGTGTATGCAAATAAAATATATTTTTGGAATTTTTAGCATACACACATATTCTTTGTCTGAGAATTTAGTGATTTTGTTCTTATGGTTTCACTTATTTATTGAAATTTTTTTTTTGTTGGTTAGAAATTTCAGAAAATGTAAAAAATTTTTTAATCAAAATTTATTTTGCATAAAAAATTTGTATTTGTATATTAATAAAAATTGTGTACAATTATAGAAACTTATGTTATACATTCTGGTATATAAATGACATACAATTAAAGTGTACAAGGATAATAATTTTAAATTATGTATGAAAAGGACATGCATATTTTATATATTTTTGGCAATATTTGGAATTTTTGTTGTATGTGAAGAATTTTGTTCCAAAACCTAATAACATATAGCGTATATGCATACATAAACTAATCAGGATAGTCGGACAACGTAAATATTGCTTGTAGTTTATGTACTTAACATATGAAACAGTTTAGGTGTATATTAGCTAAGGTAAGCTTTGTTGGTCCAGAAAAATCAAGTCAAATATCAACAAATGGAAAACATAGCATGTATGGTTTCGGAAATCTAAGAGATCATTGTGCATCTAAAGGATCATTGTGCATATATCAGTGTTCTACTATAAATAAAATATTTAAAAAGAAAAATTAAGTTTAATAAATAAAATATACTTACAAATGTTCTAAATTAATAAGATTCTTAAATGTATTCTCATTGACTTCTTCAATTAAATTATAATCTAATAATCTTAAAATATTGGAAATTTTTAATTAAAAAATACAATTTTAATTATAAAATAAAATATGTATATGTAAATTCACTTACAATTCATCTAAATTATTCATTGTTGGAAAATTACTATTATATAAAGTCAGTCTATTATCAGTTAGATTAATCCATGATATTAATGGTATATCATAAAATATTTCCATTGGAATAAATTTTATTTGATTTGAATTTAAAAATAACCAAATTAATTTATTTAATCCTTTAAATATATTTTCTGATAAATTTTTAATGTTATTATAATTTAAATATAATTTTTCTAAATGATTCAATTTTAAGAATAAACCATTTGGGATATCTGATATGTTACAATCCTTTAGTTTTCTGTTTTCAAAAAAGAAAATGAAGGAAAAGAAAATAATTTTTATTAATTTTCATATTAAAAACAAAGAAAAAACGTAAAAGAAAACTAAAATAATTATTGAATTTTATCATTTGGTGAAAATGTGATGAAAAATTTGTTTGAGGTTAATAAATTATAATTTTTATTTAATTTTTTTGAACAGAATTTAAAATTTTAATAATTTGAGTAATTCTAATGCTTAAGTGCACGTGATAGTGTGTTATAATGATTGTATAAGTGCGAAAATAAGAAAAAATTTAAATATGACTTAAAAATGAGTTCAGAATTATTCAAAAATTATGTAAAATTTTTATTGTATACTAAAAATTTGAATTGTTTTGGCGAATTCATATACGAATCCGGGAGTACTTTCAATATAAACAATTGAATTTAATTGAATCAGTAAAATACTGGTTTTAAATAGGAGGAAGAGCTCCGATCAATATCAGTCTTTGGTATATTATGAGATGGTATACCCCATCTGAATAAAGTAGAACAAAATTTTGAACAGCAGTCGCACACAATTAGTATCCCATCATTTTCATAATATATATTATCATACCAATTGGCTTTCAAATATCTAGAAGGAAGCCGTTCCTTTAATTCAAAAGTTTTTCTCAAAAGTATGCTCTTTGAATTGAGGAATATTGATTTCTTGTGGAAAGTACTGCAAAGAATACCTGAAATGTTTACTGACACTAGGCATGGACTTTTCTTTTTGTGGGCTACGGTGTCGCAAAATTTGATTTACGACGAGATTCCAAAGAAGAGGCTGGAGCACGCCTCCCTGAGAGGTATCTCTTACAACAGAGCCATCGACACACTGACCCCCAAAATGAGCCCTGATGGTCTTGCCCAACAATATGCGTTCTGTCAAGCTCACCAGGGGTCCATGAATCGACACGCTCTTCATTGCCACACTGATCGCTCGCGAAGTGACGTTATTGAAGGAACCCTCGATATCCAGAAAGCCGCCACGGTATAATCCCTGTTGTTCAGGAATCCCTTTATGTAGCAGGGCACAAGAGAATGCAGGGCCGTTTTCGTCGACTTATCCTTGCAGTACGCATGTTGTGCTGAAGACAACAAAATTTGGTTAAAGTTGTCCCGTATGTATTCATCAACCGCTTTTCAAAACTTTTTAATGGAAATGATGTTAGACTCATCGGTCTAAGGTCCTTTGGGCAGTTATAAGAGCTTTTCCCGGCCTTAGGTATAAAAACCACCTTAGCAATATTCCAGATTTTTAGAATGTGGATTAGGTCTATGCATCCTTTGTATATAGTATTATACAAGTTATACTCCACACTTAAGTAAGCTTAAAAAACTTGTTAGATGTAAATCAATTAAAAATATTTTACACAATATTTGAATAATCATTTTTATATTTATTTTATAAATATAAAAAAAATATTTCTTTTTGAAGTACGTACAAATGAACTAGATTTGTGTACGGGAGGGAATCCTTTTCCAATGTTATATTATTTCCAATTATAAGGAAATGACTGACCTATATATAATATGATAATGAAGGTTAATTGTTAAGAATTTTGGTGAAATTAAAAAACATATTTGGTATTACAAGAGTACTTACCTCTAAACTAACTTCTGGAATTTTATTTAAACCATTTGAGGCACAATATATCATTTTTTGTTTACATTGACAGCTTTCGGGATAATTCGTAATACCTAAACATATAGGTGAATAAAAATAATATACAATTTGATCAATATAATAGCAATAAACCTTATATAAATTTTCAATTCAAAAAAACTCACCACAATCATGTAATTTTCCTCTTTTATCTAAATTTGTTGAATCATTTATAGCTGACATTAATCTTTGCACAATCATACGAGTTAATCTTGTATCACCATGAAATAGACCACATTCATTTTCATCACTACCATCATAACAATCTCTATATGAATCACATATTTGCCTTTGAAGGACACATATTGTACCATTATCACAAGAAAATGTACCCGTAGGACAAGGACCTTTAAAAGAAAATAAAAAATAAATAAATATATTTATGTTTATATGTATGTAAGTATTTTATTTTCTTTAATACATTAAATTTATTAAAAATTTAAAGATTTTTGAATATTATTGAAATATTCGAAATTTTCAAGAATTTCGTATATAGACACAAAAACAATTTAAGGTTAAAATTTATGATATTCGCACTTTATTTGTATATATGTATAGGTAGTGTGTATGTGGCGTAAAATTGAATTAGATTAATCTAATGTGATTTACATGTGTGTATGTGTGGATAAAAAATTCAATTACTAATATTATGATTTTTATACATATACTAGAGTACTAGACTAAATGCTAAAAAGTTTAGAAATTTTTTTTTAATTAAATTATTTTTTATCCAAAAGTAATATTATAAAATGTCAAGAAATAAAGTGCTTATCCAAGAAATGTGAAGTAATTCTCAATTTAATTCCAAAGTCAGCAAAATTTCCCAAATATTAAAGTATAAATTTTATTTCATTCAATTATAAAATAAAAATTATACTTTAATATTTGGAATATTTGTCTTTTTTCTTGGAGAAAATTGGAAGCTTAAGAAAAGCAGAATAAATTTTTATATAAAATGTGAAATATATGAAACAAAAGTAAAATGAAATCTAATTTTCAATTAGAATTTACAGAAGCATGAAAATTGAAAGGTAAATAATCAATAAAATTTACTAAGCTTTTAAGATCTAATTGTGATTTCATAATACATTTATATGCAATAATCATGAGATGTATGGATGAAAATCGTTAAAACGTGAAATAAATTTGTTAATATATGGTTTTAGCATTGCATTATCAAACCTACTTAAATATTCGGAAAACGTTGCGAGGATCCACAATCTAAAGGCTATTATTAATGAAATTGTATTACTATAGTATGTGCATACCCACATAACCCACATAGCGTAACCCACATGAGGTAAATTTGTAGATTTGAACAACCGAAATAACATTGCGCCACGACCGCCTAAAACCGCGTACTCTACAACACCTGCTTGATTCTCAACCTCCTTCTAGTATTTCTCTTCATCACACTCTCAATTTCGATTTCTTACCCTATTATTTCGACTCCATTTATTCCCTGCCTCAAAATGAAGTGCAACATATCAACAACGAGGTGCAAAGAGGTCAATCCCAAAAACCACCTCCATTGCTATACTCCATTGTTTTTTTGGCTCTGTGATGCAGTTTCATGCAACTTTTTGCAATTATTCCGGGTTTTCCAGTTTAAAAAAAGTATTGCAATAAAAATTAATTTCAAGAATTTTAATTGAGAAGTTCTCTCTCTCTTTCTGTTTCTCTCTTACAATAAAGTCTTAATAAATTCAATAATAAAAAGTAGTCTCTCATAGCCCCTTCTTTAAAAATTTAATTGAATTAATCGAAAATTTTTCATTGCTGTACCTTCTCAGTCATGTACGATGTAACAACAATTTCATTATTATTATACCGGCGTCTATCAACGCAAGAAAAACAATAAATTTCCTCTTTCAACTTCCTTTTTTATTGCCAAAAAAATAAAAATGAAATATTTTATACGAATTACATCCATAATTTATGCAATATTTTAATATTCGGAAGGACAATAAAATCAAAAATAAATAAAATTTTTGTTGAAATTTTTAATAAAAAAAAATATAAGGATATTTTGTAAGAACAACAAAATTTATGTCAATTCAATCATTTCCCTTGTATTTGATAGCTTCTTACATTTACTCTTTGGCATTTTCCGAAATGGAATTACTCGTATAGTCGTATATATTATGTATACTTGAATATATTTATAGGTAAAGTAGAAGATATTGCGATAAATAGAGATTTCTCACGAAACAGCATTTAATCCGAATATTCTAATAAAACTAAATGCCTTTTAACGCCTTGATTATGATCGATTAATGTTATAAATTACATAATATTTATACTAGATTCATGTCACATTACATATGTACATATGTAGTGTTCAGAAATGCTTTTATATGTTTATGTATATGTTGTATTGAATTTAATGTCCAAAAATTATTATTACATTTACGTTTATTGATTTCATGTTGGTATTTTTATATTAACTATAATCAATTTACCATCGATTATTACATTAAAATAGATTTCATGCATTTATTTTGGTATTGAATGATTGTACTCGTATTTCTTAAATAATGGGAGAATATTATAAAATATGGAGTCCATTTAACATTCCAACACATATGGTTGTTTAACGTGGCCAGTACATCAGATTAGTCGCAACCCAATTAGCACAAACGTACCGTTTTATTACCACCACCCTTGAGCACCAATTCGTCATCTAATTTTCGACAACAGGTTGCCTATCTAAGCCTCTCGTTTTTTTTGAGGAATTTGTATAGGTCTCCGATCTCAATATTTGATATTTCGTCCAACCCATTCACCACCTCGCTCTAACAAATGTTTAATGAACATTGCTCTTTTAAGAATTCATCCGAAAAGAATTAACTATTAGTTGAGAGTGGATTCGATGCTATCGAATGAATGATGATCGAATAATAATTGTGTGCGAAGTAATAGTTCGGTATGCATATATCAAAGAAAGTAATAAATTTTCAGCCATGGTAAAAACTTATTATTACGTTAAAACAATATGCATTTTTTGCATGTAATCGTGTTTAACATATTGTATTCTCAACAAAATTTTCATTACCCTAGGCTTTCAGAAATTATTCCAAATAACTTGCACAATTATATTTTATTTCTTGTAATAATATCAGAAAATTTTGAAAGCATGAATTAATAAAGAAATTATGATTAAAAATCTATATGACTGCATCTAATTGAATTTGTTAAAAAATCAATATTTTATTCAATAAAGACTGCAATGCGCTTCATTCCTTTTAACTTGCTTTTTCCTTATCTTTTTGATTGACATCACCACATCGTTCCTTATATAAAACTTTCGGAATAGAAAATTTCTCATACTTAAAAAATTTTTTTAATGATTCAAAGGACATAAAAATTTATGATTTATTACGTATGTATTCAGAGATTTTTTTTTGATATTAACAAAGAAAAGTTTTCTTTTATCGGAAAATTGTTTGTCATATTGCCTAACTATATTCATTTTAGTCTTTGAAAATTTTTGATACTAAATTAACATCAAATATTCTTTGACATCTTCCTATTTCTATACTCTCTTGACACAAAAATTACATAAAAATTAAAATGTTTTTTAAAAGTTTTAAATGTAAAAAGAACTTCTATAAAATATTAATGTAGTTCTTATATAATATTATATACAGAGGGTGTCCGATATTTGATAATACTCCCAAAGCAGACTGATAGAATGGATCGAATTTATCTGTCATATTTCCCAAGGTATCAATTAGAATGTATAAACAACTCCTAAGCCAGAACTGATATCATATACCCGTTCAGCTCAGCAATTATAAGGCTCAATCAACAAGGTAGCCAATTGCGCTAAAGTTGAAGAAAGCTAGAGGGTTACATCACCTAAAAAATTATCGTTTTTTAAGTGAAAATACAAAATTCAAATATTTCAATTTTTAAAGTCATCTGTTTCCGAAATCTAAAGAGATTATTACTATATCGTAAATATTCATGAGAAAGTCCTTATTTTGAGGTTTCCAAACTATATCTAATAATGCGGCCCGGCACGGTTTTATACTTATAATTTCTAAAAGTAAAAAGATGAGTCGAGATTGATTTTAAGCCTGTGTAACTCAAAGCCGATTCGGCTGTGATCATCGTCTCCATACGAAATTTTTGTCTAGACATGATGGTCTATATACCATGCATGGTATATAGCAGCGCACGTATAGATATGAGCCACCTTTTATAAGAAGATTTTTGTTTCAAAATATTTTCTTTACAATTTAATTATATCGTAATTTACAACGGTCACAATCATAAAAATTTACGATCAGTTAAGGTTTATTATTCTTCGAAGAAATTATTTTTTATTTCCGTATATACAAGAAATGTATAATATTCACAAGTTAATTGTAACTTAAGCTAATTGAAATGTTTGATATACATAAAAATACAAGATTTGATTCAATTAACCACAATATTACTTCATTAAGAGTTTGGTCGAGTAGGTACATATTTTGAATCTTGGATATCTAAAAAATTTTATGGCATTAAGTTTTGTCAATATCATACAAATACTAAAAAGTACTATTAAAACAATTGCTTATAAGAAATTTATATAAAATATACACACATGTCTACAAATATCAGAATCTAAAATTACAATTTTATCGCCTCAAGCATAATGGAATAGCTTCTAAAATATTTTTAAATAATTCTTTCTTAAAGTTCATTGATTTCTATTAAGAAAAAATAAATGAAAATTTTAAGAATTGAAAAAAAAATCTCAATTGCATAAAAATCAATTTTAATATTAAAGAAATTTGTTGATTTAGCAGAAAAATATTTTTTTCAGGAATAAATTATCAAAAATAAAACCAAAAATTTAAATAGAAAATTAAAACTCTACACACTTGTCAATATATTTAAACTGTTGGTCGTTATTGTTTTAGTGCCACTTCAACTAAATTTATTCTTAAAGTATTTTCAGATCTTAATTACCGGAATAACAGTGCACCGCGACCACTCATAAAGATATAATGTGCGGGTGTGCTCTACAACATCCGCTCGAGACCCAACCTCGCCTTCTGGTATTTCTCTTTTCCTATGAAAAAGAGCATCACCCTGCCAATCCCGATCCCTTACTCGATTATTTCAATCCCATTTCTTCACAACCTCAAAATGAGGTGCCTCATATTAACAACGAGGTGCAAACCACCTCAATTGCCGCAGTTGGAGACGTTTTTTTTTTGCTAAATTCGCACACTTTTACCGAATTACGGCGTAATATTCGACAGTCTAATAGTTATTAAATTTTTATTTGAATAATTTTCCAAAGTTATCATTTCAAGTCTTTCATTTTGAGTGACAGAGTTAAACTAGAATACCATTAAAGTATACTTATGACGGATCAATTCTTACTTGTTTTTTAGTGTTTGCAATTTGTTTACCCTTAACACATAAATTTGTAAACAAAACAAAGAAAAAAAGAAATGTGAAATTAATTTAGTCACCCAAAAGTAAATTTCAATAAAAATTGAAATGTGTAAAAAATATCCTTAACATAATGTCCTTTAATTTATTATTTATTTCTAATTTATTATTAAATTTATTTATCTTAAAAAAATTCTCTATACTCACTATACGATATTTATACTATACCAACAAATTTGCACAAACATGTGTTCACAAATAGAATGTAAGAGCAGAAAACCGACACTTAAGAAAGTATAATAATTTTCCAGACAGAATACTGGAGAAAAAAATAACATTAGTGACATATCAAATGATCCCACTTGATTAGCCTATTCTCAAACCATACATTAGATTAAATAAAGATATCATCATTATATCCAAATATTTATAAGTACATATAATAATTATATATGTACATAGATATATTTGAAATTACTCTCGCACTCACGTTTTCTACAAAAACTCCTAAAAGGAAAGAAAAGAAAAAACAACACTTGAAAATGAAATTTAATATCCTTGTATAAAATTGGAATATGAAAAAAGTAGAACCATTTTCTTCAAGTATATTTGTCTGATTTGTAAAAATAAAACTAAATCAAAGAAGCAAAAAATAAAATTTATTATACGAACATATTCATTATACATGTAGGTGTGTAATACGCGTATATACACAAATATCTATGTTAAAACGAAAAGTTTTCTTTCGTCCCAACTTTTATCGTAAATGAAAAAAAATTACAAAATACAATATGTAAATTTTCGATTCAATTTGAAAAACATTGGGAGTTTCTTTCTATATCTACTTTTTTTATTAAATAATTTTTTTTAATAATTATAATATTACCAATTTTATCTTTCATTTATAATGTATATGACGAGAGTTAATTTCTTCTAAATTGTAAGATTCTTCGTATTATACAAGCAAGAATAAAACTGTATATAATTCGTCACCATATCCAAATGCATACACCCTTAAGAACTATTTTAAAAATCTGTCACAGTCCTACCCAGTTAATAGCATCGACAAAAATGCCTTGTTTTTAGAACCAATTAAGTGGGTAAATCGTTTATAAACATCTCGTTTAGTTAAATCGGCGACAGTCGAACAATCGGCATAAAAAGAGATTACATTCTGTAAATGCGTAGACAATCAATAGTAAATATATTCTATTATATACTATAATAACATCTAAATATAAATCTAAATATACCAATGTCTTTCCTCCTCTAGGCAGAGATGATACAACCTACTCTCTACTTTACCCACCCTTTTCAAGTAGAAGAGGCAATGTCCAATAAGCACTTCAACTAATAATTTTAAAGTCGGACATCGACCCCACTAATCATTTCTGGTTGTCGACCGAGCCATCGAGTACTCGAAGCACTGTTGTCAAAGGCACTCCCCTACGAGCAAGCTCATCAGCATTCTTATTTCCCACAATACCTCAGTTCCCTAGTTGCCATATCAATGATAGTCTATCGTGTCTAGCCAGCGTCTCGATTGGACGTCAATACACTCCGTTATTAGTTTTGATATTAACAGAATAATTGTGAATCTCGGTTTGTTTACTCACTTTTTATTCATTTTCAAATCAGAATTTTCTGTTTCTCCGTCTAATGGATATTTCATTTTTCCAATAAGATATTTAATTTTTTCTCAACGTCTCACTTTCAAAACAAAGTAAATAAATTTTTTTTATACATTTCAGAAAAAAAAAACTAGATACGCAATACCGAATAATTCTTCTCATTCAAAAACTACACTATACAAGTATATGATAGTTACTCATTTTCTTCTCACTTGTCGAGTAAAAAAGCGGGATGGACGATCAGACCCTAAAACAACGGATGACATGACCCCCGAAAAAACAGACCTATAGTCCGAAATTATATAAATTCCTAATACACTCACGAATATACAGCTCGATGGCATGTTCTTCCGCCTCAAAAACTGATGTAGAGTATCCGAGCGTCTTTGTATAACACTTCTTATATATTTATTGTTATATTCCTATGTAAGTCTATGCAATAATTATTAAGTTTAATTTAATCACTTACAGTGAACAAGTTCAACGATTTTAGCCGTGTTTTTTTTTTTCTATAAAAATTCTAATATAATTTTTCAATTCGTCATTCATTATTTATCAGTTTTTAACAATAAAATGAAAAAAATTTTCTATTCTAAGAAATAAGAAACTTTTTATTTATGTTTGGTTGGGTTCTTTGTATATTTTGTAACAAGTTTTACTTAAACTTTATTGTAACATTTTTTTTTTGCAGTTTCTAAGTTTCCATAACAAATCAAACCTCAAGAATAGTTTTAAAATACCATCCCTTTACTATCATTAACTTTTTTCCTATCATTTTTCTTAAGAAAAGCGTACCAATACAAAATAAAAAATAACAAATAAAAATTTTTGAATAAAAATAAACTTTGCCCTAAAAATAGCAAATAAAAAAGACAAACATGAAACTTTAAAATTTATTTATATTCCATGTCCATTTTATAACCTGATAACTTTTATTATCGTAAATTGTAAACCATGAATGATAAAAATTTAGGTTACATAACAAATTGAAAATTTTATTTTGCTTAAATTAAGTTTAACAACAAGAATTCAAAGTTTTATTCAAATAAACATTGTAAAAACAAAGCATGAAACACAGATGTCGCTTTTCAAAAAATGACATTAAAAAAATTTTATTGATTAGGGTAATTAAAATTTTCATTATATTTCTAAGGAATCCCATTTCACACTATATCACTGTATAAGTAAAAGTATTTTTAAGGTTTAAAATCTTGTACAAATCGAATATTACACATATGCAAATATTTTTATTGAAAAACATATTATATAGCCGAAGGCATATACAGCAGAGCTGGCAAAACTCCTTGATGTTTCAAGCCACTTTTCAAATTTTGAAATTCGTCCAGAGAGCCAATTAAAACTGTATTAAAAAGTTAACTTATCCAAAATTAAAGAACACAATCTGTATATCTGTAGCAAAACTGATACATACAAGTTTTTTCCTTGAACTGTCAATTACAATGAAAGCGAACAAATTCAAAAGTGCTCTGGAGTCGATCGTCCAAAACGAACTTTTATATTTTTTTCAGTAATATTTAAGAAATTTTGAAATGCATTTCGGAATTATTTTAAATATGAATGATAAGAAACCCGGGTATGTTTATCAAGAATCACATTAAACTCTCCAAAGAGCCAACGGTTGGCTACCCCTGGCGCAGAGAATATTTATAATATTTTTAATGTTTACTTTATGTTTTCTATTAATATTGCCTTTTTTGTCAATTAGGATAGCAAAATATTTATATTTGGACTTATTCTAATATAATAATAAAATTAATATTTATCCCATATAGCAATAATTCGAGTAGAACAGAAGAGACCCAAATATAAATTTTTATTACATAAATAGCAATGTATTTTAACTTCCATCTACCATATACATATGTATGTTTTTATTGTGTAAAACATGATGTAGTTGACATGAGTCATTATAATGTATATGTTAAATGAAAAAGTAGTGAATTATGTAATGTAAATAAATACATAGCTTTTTATTTGAGTATATCTCGAATCTCGATATTCTAGATAAGCAAAATAACCCGAATTGTGCTTTTTCATGACTTAAAATTTCTCCCAAACGTACCATGGATTCTTTTCCTCATTTCATTGAAAATTTTGCATTCAAATTTTGCAACTACACCCTGACTTTTAAAATTGTCAACAACAAAACAATCATTATATAAGTAACTACTAAATTAAGTCTTAAGCGTCAACCGAAGTTATGAATAAACTTAAAATTTACCATCCTTTCAAGCATAAAATGTATTGCATTCTGATATGTTAATCAATTCCTAACTTATTTCTTTGTATAATAACACTTAGTTTTTTTATTTGAAATATTTATTGGGCCGAATTCCTAGCTGTACTGCAATACTAGGCCAACCCGTGATAGAGGTGGAGCAAGCCCCTAGCACTCCATCTATTTCCAAAAATCAGGTTAACATTTGTGACTTCTTTGAAGTCTATCAGATGTTAAGCTGATAAGAACAGATACTACACTTTGATCTTAGCCATAAGGCCGAGAAGCGATAGCGTTTAACAACTTTTATACTATATTTATGTAAAAAATTACATAAATATTCTGTGAGTTATAAAAATAAAATTAAAAATATTTCTTCTCTCCTCTTTGTATATTTTTATTTCCAGTTTTTATTTTATACACATTTTGAATTTTTACCTAAGCTCTACTTATTGTGTGTATTAACGACATTTTTCAGGTAAAAGATTAATATGCATGAATATGAATTGCGATATAAATACTTTGGTGTAGATAAAGACAAGAAACATGTGTACGTGTATTTTGCAAACAAAATGAAATAATTAGTAATAATTAATAATGCGTAGACCATAGATAAAGGAGTAAACAATGTGTGGGCATATATCAAATACATACATAAATATGCTTATGGAACGAAAATAAATAGTAGATTTAGTCATTCCCGAAATATGCAAAAAAAAAAAATATTTGAAAGTAAACGAGAATAGAAGAGTTGATCTTGTTAACTGTATGACACCTTCCTTGCTAACTAAATGATTCTAAGAGTTGCATGACAAAACCCATTTAGACTCACACCACTTATTGCTTCTATATTCTTCTATTTTTTTCTAAAATATTTATGTTCTTAGCTGCCATACAGCTGTGAGCTGTCATAAAGGTATTCATACAATCGTGTGTGCCAAACTACTATTGAAGTTGTATGGCATCTACCAGAAAGAGCCAAGAAATTTTAACGAATTTTATCAAACACATCGGCCCTACTAATATATTTGCTTGTGTGAAATTTCAATACCACAGCTTTTATAGTTTTTGAGATATAGCCAAATAACTTTTGGAGTTGTACGACAGCTACCACAAGGAGCCAATCAATTTCAACGACTTTTGTCAAACACATTGGTCCTACTAATATATTCACTTGCGTGAAATTTCAATACCATAGCTTTTAAAATTCCTGAGATATAGCCAAATAACTTTTGAAGTTGTATGGCAGGTACCAGAAGGAGCCAGGTAATTTCAACGACTTTCATGAGACACATTGGCCCTACTAATATATTCGTTTGTGTGAAATTTCAATACCTCATCTTTTATAGTTTCTGAGATATAGCCAAATAAATTTTGAAGTTGTATGGCAGCTACCCGAACCAGTACCCCGATCATGTCCAATTTAAATAGGATTCTGGCACTTACTACAATAAATCATTTGTGAAAATTTGGTGAACTTAGCTCAATTAGTTTTTGAGTTATCGTTGGGACGGACGAACGGACGGACGGACAGACAAAGCTAAATCAACTCAGAATTTGACGATGATCAAAAACATACACTTGAGTCTATATCTAAGACCTTTATTTCTTAGCGTTACAACGGTAAGGCAAATTTAGTATACCCTTCGAACATACATTCGTACGGGCATAAATATTCTTCGTTTATTTATGAAAGATATTTAATTATTTGGAAGGTTATCGGTATCGTAAAAAGAGTGATAGTCTTTGGAGGTACGTACTGCTTTTAATTCTTGTAAGAAAACCATTTCTGTGTAATATTTTCAACGGCTCACTTGTGTATGATGCTGTTTTTGATTATGTGTGGCTTACGAGTTTTCACTGCACAACAAAGATTCAGAATATAAAATATAAAATTGTGTTGTAACAACACAGTCATAAACTCGTAGAAACTTAAAAGACGGTTTTCGCTTAACTTCGTTTTTATTAGCAATTACTAAAAATTTTTAGAATATTCATGAAACACATTTGATTTAAACAGAAAAATGCCAAAAATGGATTTTTGAACAATTTGTTAATATGAGGTCTCACTGTTGCAACATCGATATGTTTTGTTTATGTTGCACTAAATACTGAATACACTTATACACTACAATACAAAATTCGTTTCACTAATTTTACTATTTGAACTAATTATTGGGCCGAATCCTAGTTGTACTGCAATACTAGGCCAACCCGTGATAGAGGTGGAGCAAGCCCCTAGCACTCCATCTATTTCCAAAAATCAGGTTAACATTTGTGACTTCTTTGAAGTCTATCAGATGTTAAGCTGATAAGAACAGATACTACACTTTGATCTTAGCCATAAGGCCGAGAAGCGATAACATTCAACTATTTTCATACTCTATTTATGAAAAAAATTACATATGTATTCTGTGAGTTATTAAATTCAAATGAAAATTCAACGTGTGTGTATTCAGGTAAAAATTTAAAAAATACATAATATACATTAATGTGTGTTCATTACATTACAATGCATTTTTATGTTTTCTTTAAAGTTTTATTTTTGTTATACCCATCTTAACAAAAGATTTTTTTGAAAGGATATCATTACATTACTTTGTAGACCAACATACAGAAGATCAGTTTTCTTTTACATTTTATAGTATTTCTTACCAAAAAAAATTCGTAAGGTATGAATCTATTGATTTAGGTTTTTAGACTGCCAACAATCAACAAATTTAATAAAATTTTTCCTCTATGATTTAAAATCAACATTTGAGCGTTATGTTGAATGTCCCGAGTTAATATTGAGAATATCTAATTAAAATTAGAATTAACATTCTTAACTATAAAAATTATGAACAGTGAGGAGCTAGGGAATCGTATTGCAGCAAACATGCCTTACAATCTAAGGAAGGGTTGGATGAATTCTAGACATGAAAACATGTATTACAAACCGTCGCTTAAATCCTTAAATAAATAACTCGCTACATAAAATCAAATAAAATTTATATCGTAATTTAAATTTTTATTGTGGCTGAAAATTGTGCACGCATTAAATTAAATTTTCAATAATAATATGAACGAAGTAAATGTATTTTCTTTCACAGGCAATGATTAAGTATGTTAAAAGCACATGTAAGACAAACATTGAAATTGAAATTTCCTAAATAAAAATTACGTAAATATTTGAATAAAAGACCTTCACAATAGGAAAGAAATCTGGATATTTGAAATACCTACTTCTGATAATTGATAAATAAATTATTTCAATAGCTTTGCATATATTTGTGCTTAATGATTAATGCTTTCAATATAACAAGTTTTTTTTCAAAGGTTTTTATTAGGGTTATCAACTCACTTTTTTTAAAAAATTTTTATAAAAAAAAAAACCGGTGCTGAAAAGGTTTTTAAGAAGCGTGTAAAACACCGCTTCCTAAAAACTTAAAACAAAACGAGAAAAGATAAAGTTGATAGTTTAATTACTGTAGAGCTTTCGAAATATGATCAAATTATTCTCGAAGTTGTATGGCAGCCATTGTACAGCAAATACAAATACGGCTTATACAGCTATAGCCAAATTTCGCCGAATTTTTGTCTATTTATGCAAAATTTAGTATCTCTATATGTTTTGCAATTTCTACGATATGATTAAGTTATTGTTGGAGTTATGTTGCAGGTAACTTGAACAGATATTTCAGCCGGGTTAATATTAAATGTAGTTTGCACCATATAACTTTCCTAAGCAATTCGAAAAACTTGGTTACTCTAGCTCAATGTATTTTCGAGTTGTCGCAGGAACGGACATAGCTAAACATGTCGCTGTTTCTTAGCGTTGAGAGCGATATGACAAATTTAGAATATCCAGTTATATGTTTATTAGTATAGGCATATGCATTTCAGAACAAAAAAATATATCGTAAACTGCAGCCTGCAATATTTATGAATGAATTATTAATTCGTTTTGCACTTTATGTAATTAGCAACCCTTACATTATAATTACTGATTATTAAACAAAACAAAATTTTTCGTTTGACTAAGAAAATGTCACTGTTTCGTTTTTATTTTGAAATTTTCTCAAAGTTCATGAATAACTAAAACTATTTGTAATTATTTTTCAACTTTAATAACCTTTAAAAATCATTTTATATTTTGGGTTTTAATTAACAAATAAATTTTACAAAATTGTTGTTTCATTCTAATAGACAAGTGGAAAGAATGAAAATTTCTCATGAGATTTTTATCGAAATTAGGCTTAAACATGAAAAAAATTTTATTAAATATTTTGTCTCATAAGAAAACCTTAACCCATTTTTTTTAAATGTATATTTTGTCCCAAATATTTAATAGCCATTTAGTCGGTCAAGCAATATTACAATATAATATGGGAAACATTATCAGTCTATAGGAAAGTGTGTCTGTATTATACCAATATTATACCAATACAATGTGTTTAATAAATTCAATTTGTTAGGAAAACATATAAGAGTATACGATAGCAGTAACTACATACAGAATTGACCACAAAAAATTAAGGGTTACAAATTAGATTTTTATTATGAAATGTTTTATAAAACAAAAATGTATAAAATATTTCAATTAACACAACTTTTAAATTCTTTTATGTAAAAATTAAAAAGGTTTAGCAGCAAGAGAAGTGTAGACTTATTCAAATATACACGAACTTTCTAACATATTACAAAAAAATTTTATTATTGTTGCGTAAAAAAGTATTAAAACTATTTTTCAAAGGAGTTTAATTAAATTAGTTTTAAAAAGACTTTATGCATAACACACATTCTTCGAACATTAAAGAAAACCGTAGTTAAACCAATGTTATTTTTTAAGAGTTATGAAATGGAAGGATTTTTTATTAAAATCTGTTTGTCTGAAAAAAATTCTTTTATCTATATTGAATGGTATAAAAATTCCGATAAACAGACCTACAAACGGACCTGATATGAACCGACAGAATGGAGCTACATGCAGTAAAACTTACATATACAAATATAAATCTTCAGAAATACTCATAAACTTCTTTATTCACAGAATAACAATTGAGACACTGGTAAATTTGCAACTTAATTTTCTATTTAAAGAACTTTTCTATATTATTACATATAATATCTAGATTTAAACGGGTCGTTATATGGCAATTTTAATCGTTTATTAGGATTCAATAACTTAAAACTGATATACAAAGCCTCAATTTCTTGTGTTCGCTATCCTTTAATTACAATAAATTTTTGTAACAATTTTCATTTAAGATTTGACAGTCTAAAATAAGTTTATTAGCACATTTTTCTTA